TGTGTGTGTGTGGCCAGCTCAGCCCACCAGGGGGCGGGGCTGGCTGGCATGTGGTGCTGGGGGATTGAACCGCAGTCCCTGTGTTTTGCTTAGTTTAGCTTGTTCTGAGTAGGTGCTTTAGACCACTGAGCCATCTCACCAGCCCCTCTCCAAGTGTTAATGCAGGCCTTTTGGTTTTGAGAAGACTGAAAGTATTAAATGGAAAATTCCAAAAGAGATACCATGGCTAAAAAGGTCTTCTTTTTGAATGTAATTAAACTGAAGACTTCAGGCATACCTAGGCAAGTGCTTTACCCTTGAGCTACATCTTCCACACCACTTTAACAGGTCGTTAACAAACCCCATGACAAGCCCTGACATGCTGGCTCAGCCTCCAGCCCTCTAGCCACCCAGAGGTGTACCTTTCGGAGCAGCTCTCGGATCTTCTCTGCATCCTTGGCTGCATAGATGTGCCATAAAGCACCTGGCTTCTCATTTCCATCATGAATCCTCTGCTTTGTCACCTCATCAGCATCTCCTTCATCAATTGTCTTAAGTACCTCTGCAAAGAGCAAATGTTGCAACTGGTTATTTTCGTACCTCAGAGTGAGACACAATATTTTTTTTTGTGGAACCAGGGATTGAACTCAGGCCCTTGCGCTTGCCAGGGAAGCGCTTATTCCACTGAGCTATCTCCCTGGGCCCCTAGACTCAATATCTAATTCAAACAACTTTGGTCTCTATCTTTTTTAAGCTCTATAACATAGAATCAAAACTAATATTAGAGGGCTGAGTGTGATGGCACATGCCTGTAATCCCAGCATTTGGAAGGCTGACACAGGAGGATCTTGAGTTTGAGGCCAGTCTGGGGTACATGGTGAGTTCAACACCAGCCTAAACTACATAACAAGACCCTGTCTCAAAAACCAAAACATACAAAAAAACCTCTTTTACTTAAGTACAGTAGAGATGCTGCATTTTTGGAGGTATAGCTTCATTAAGACACATTTATTGCTCAAACTGTACAGTCTTCTTTCATGTTCACCTTACAGGCTATTTTCTATTGAAAGTAGATAGTGTCTATACCCTTCCTCAAGACCTACTGAACCTCCAGGATTCTGTGGAGTCAAGCCCACAGAGAGCAAAGTTTGTCTGCCCAGTTAAGAGGGTTGGCTTCTACTACTTATCTAGTACAAACTGTAAAAGACAACTTAGTGCAAGGATTTGCAGATATGCAGCACCATACACAAATGAAAAATACACCAAGGTGATAATACCGATTAAACTTTTGACATTTTAAACTGCTTTTTTTTTTTTTTTTGTGGAACTGGGGATTGAACTCAGGCCCTTGTGCTTGCCAGGGAAGCGCTTATTCCACTGAGCCATCTCTTCGGCTCCTTTAAACTGCTTTCTAATTCTTTTTCTTTCTCTGAAACTTCCACAATAAACATAATTTTAACAGCTAAATCTGAGCTACTCTCGAAGGCATCCTTGGCAACTGGCCATTAATACAAAGGGACCAGTCTTGTTTGTGCTCTTTTAAAAAAATTATTATTATTATTTTTTAGTACAGGGTCTCACTACACAGATCAGACTCATAGTGATCTTTGGGAGTTTTCAGCTTCCTAAGAGCTGGGATTACAGGCATGCACCACCACACTCACTCTCAATCACCAGTCTCAGTGTGTTCTGGGGGCTGTGCCAGTATGCAGGCTAGGTATTGGGGATCGAGGATCGGGTATTGAACCTGGTCCCTGCATCTGCCTAGGTAGGTACTTTAATCAGCTGAGCTATCTGGCCAGCCCTAGTGCTCTTAAGATAACTTAAACATTTAGACCACATAGGAGGTGGCGGCAGCTGGATGTGGTGTCCCACACTTGTAATCTCAGCATTTGGGAGAACTGATGTGAATTCAAGCCCAGCCTGGGCTACAGAGTAAATTCAAGACCAGCCCAAATACAGTGAGACCCTGGCTCAAATAGAAAAGAAAAGAAAAAAAAGCAGTGGCAGCAAAATATCACTTTTATGCTTCACTTTTGTGCGGGTAATCTGGCCTTAATATTTCATTCCACATCTGATCTGGCTGATGGGCCAAACAGATGAGCTTGTCCCTTTGTCTTCACTTCTTTGTGAGGCTACACACTCGAAAGGAAAAGGACACTATTTCCAGAAAGAGAAAGGCTCTGGTCAAAGATATACAAATATCAATCTTCTCTTCTATAATTGCTCTTTTATGTATGTATGTATGTATGTATGTATGTATGTATGTATGTGGTCAGCTCAGCCCACCAGGGGCGGGGCTGGCTGGCATGTGGTGCTGGGGGATTGAACTGCGGTCCCTGTGCTTTGCTAAGCTTGTTCTAAATAGGTGCTTTAGACCACTGAGCCATCTCACCAACCCCTATAACTGCTCTTTGTGTAGCAACATTCTCTGGTTACTACTATATATCAGGCCCAGCAGAGACTTAAGAAAAAGCCACTATCTCTAACTGAGGAGGAAAACACTCAATGCTACCTGGAGAATACATCTTCCCACCTCAAACAGTTGTTCTAGAAATCTTACCTTCATCATGAGCACCCTCCCCGATGGGGATCCCAACATACACCATCACATTAACAGCATCAGACACATCTAAGTGAAGATTTGTTGTTCCAACTCTTCTATCTTCCGCAGTTATCAAGCCTAAAAGTAAAACGAAAGCAAGCAAGGTAAAGGGTGCATATTCTGAAGAATTCACATAGGCTGTGCAACTGAAAATATGCTCAAGGATGTACTTCAAATAAGTATAACTGCTAGAGTAAAGTATGTTTATTAAGAAAAAGCTGGGGATGTGGCTCAGTGGTAGAGTGCTTGCCTAGCATATGTGAGGTCCTGAGATCAAACCACAGCATCACTTAGAAAGAGAAAGAAATTCTTTTCTTTTACTGTACGATTTCTAGCTTGGGTGGGACTATCATTAAGCTTTGCCCAGAGAACCAATCCACTCCCCCAAAATGATTCCTAAAGCAAAATTAATAAGGATATCAAGGGCATTGAGATAAGGTTCAACTTTCACAGTAACTTAGGTAAGACATTTCTGTACTTCATCAAGCACTGTCTAGGTAGCATGGTATCCAGTCTTCTTTGTTTTTTTAAATGAAGAATATATCTCCTTGAGTACTATTTTTGCGAAAAGTATCTAACTGCTAGAGACATAAAGATTGTAGAATGTGCCCTTGTGGGATGCTACACAAATCACTACAACAGAAAAAAACATGCCAAACAGTCCTGGAAACCATTAACCTATCCAGCACCAGTCACAGTCCTCAATTGTCTCTACATATAACTCACAGATCTCCCTCCGCAAGTGAAATGAGAACGGTCTACCAAAGGGGCTTCTGCCTCTCCCTCATACCATAGGCGTTGTACATCTTGGGGCCAAGGTCAGGCCTTACAAAGTAGCTGGGTAGCCTAGAGGCCAGATTAAGCCTGCCATCACGTTTGGTATATTCTGGCAGAGGAAGATTCTCCATCAGATCTTCAAATCTGTAAAATACCAGGACAGCTGACTTAGCTTGTTACAAAGGAAGAAAGCAAAGAGGCAAAGTTTACTGCTCTGTGATACTTTGTGACAGCTTCAGCCAGAACAAGTCTCTGAAGATGGCACCACTAGAGTTCACTAACCTTGTGGGCATCATGTCCCGAAAATCTTCCCCAGGAGGCCAGTCCTTGAGTTTGAGCACCATGGGCTGCCCATCTTCTGACCTGAGTCGTTCTGTAAGACAGAGAACACTCCTTCAGACATCTGCTAGACTGGCTGCTGCCCAATATCTCACTGACCAGAGGTGTGGAGCCAAAGCCTCTCATTTCAGATTATAACGCCTGTAATTAATTAGGTCAGGTGGACTGACTTTGTTTTCCTTATCCACTGTGTTTTCCTTACCCACGACAAACTGGGCATCTCATAGGACTTTACTCACTTTCCTCAGAGTGAAAGTGCTAAACAGATGCCAGGGTCTCACATGCTAAAGCCTAGGCTTGCTCTGCAAAGCCTAGACTGCCATGCAAGTATAGGCTCAGCACTAGGCGTAAGCTTTCTCCTGCCAAGAGATTATATTTTGTTCTTGCAGGGAGCAGAGCCAGGTGCGCAGATATCTATTTCCCAGTCTGTAATCACTCCACCAGATATCCAAGTTACTTACTGCATATGATCTCAAAGCCATCCCAGAAATCCCGAACTTTTACATCAGAAATTATAGCACAGTTTCTGCAGTTCACCAAGTCCACATCTTGGTCTCCAAATTCCTGGCTAAAGGCTTCAGGTTTCCAGAGTTCAGACTTCAGTTTTTTATGTACCCCTGAAACCAGTACCGGCTATGGAAACAAACATATCCAAATCAGAGACATCTAGAAAATACCATTAGCTCTAGGGCTAAAGGACTGAATAGGAACATTTCCTGGGAGGGCTCTTTAAGAGAATCTAATGTTCCTTTCCAGTTTTATAACCTATGGATTTTAACATGTTAGCTGAAGTGAATGAAAACTGCTTTTACTCTTATTTATTATCAAAATGGCTCCCTACCCTGCAGGGCATACCATAAAAATAAGCTCTAGTGTTCTGGTGTCTACAACATTTATTTATTCTTTTTTTAAAAAAATGTATTTAGTATAGGGTCTACAGGATCTCACTACACAGCTCAGACTCACAGTGATCCTGTTATCAGCCTCCAAATTGCTGGGATTACATGTGTGCACCACCATGCTCAGCCTCAGTCACCATCTCAGTGCGCCCTGGTGGCAGGGCCATCATGGCACACTGGGCATCGAACCCTGATCCCTGTGTCTGCCTAAGCACACTTTAATTCGCTGAGCTATCTGGCTGGCCTCACATTTATTTTTTAATTAATTAATTCATTTTGCAATACTGGGGATTCAACTCAAAGCCTTTGTGTGTGTGTGTGGGGGCATGTTGAGATAGGGTCTCTCTATGTCGTTCAGGCTGGCCTTGAACTTACTGTGTAGCCCAGGCTGGTCTCAAACTCATGGTGATTCCCCTGCTTCAGCCTCCCAAGTGCTGGGAGTATATGCATGTGCCACCATACCAGGCTTTATCATTCTTTTGAGGTGAGAGGACAAAAAGCACATAAAGTCATCAGGAACTGAGAACAGTTCCTAATATTATAAATAATAAACTATACATCCCCATAAACTCCTTCATTAAGCACTGCTAAAGCATAAAAATCATAGAGAGCCAGATGTGCTGAACCATGCTTGTAATCCCAGCACTCTTGAGGCTGGGACAGGAGGATCACTGTCAATTTGAGGCCAGCCTGTACTACATAGTAAATCTAAGGCCAGCCTGAATTAGAGATCCTGTCACAAAAACCAACCAATCAAACAAACAGTCATGGAGCATTATTATACTATCATATAAAACCTCTGTGGCTTTCAAATAATAGAAATGTACCATTCCCTTCGTTCCCACCACATCTTCACCCTACCTAACATCACATAGGGATTCCCTGCTGAGGTGTCATCAATGCCAGCTCAACACCTAACAGGAATTTCAACTGTCCTTTTAAGAATAGAACTACATAGTTTTGAAATAAAAGGATGCACAATACATATTTAGGAATCTCCTCAGTGTTAGAAATTCAAGACAAAAAGTAGGAAGTAGGAAGGATATCCACAACAAACTTAATATTTCTAAGTCTCTTTGGCAAAATACTCCCAGAGAGCCCTGGAAATACTTTGGTAGCTATGGCAGGCATGGGACAGTTGGTTCTGGGAACTACTCATTCTTACCTGGCCTTGCTTCCAACACTCCCGGAAGATCTTCCAATTGTTCTTGTTGCTGGGGTCATGAAGACACAGAAGCCTCCCATCACAGAGCCAAGAGTGAGAAGTATGGGGATCTAGCACATTTAACCCCATCACCATTTCCTTCACTTCCTTTTGGGTATCAGTCAAATTGCAGGCCCTCTTTGAAGCATCTGAGGTTTTCTTATTTTCTACCACAGAAGCAATGATGTGATCAAGAAAGTTGGGTAGGCTGGCCTTGCTCTTTGCTCCCTGCCAGACACAAAGCCACAAGTAAGCCTGACTGAAGTATCAAGAGAAAAGCATTCAAAACCCTGCCTTCACAGTTGTATTCACAAGGAGTTTTTAGAGCTGTGATTCAATTTCAAGTAAGTCACTAAAAATGTCTTCTATAATTAGAGGAGGATAAAAGTTGTCAGAATCACAAAAAATTTTCTACTTTTCATATTTTGCCCATATTTATAAAAGAAATCTCTGTCTAAACAAACAGACTTGAGACCTAAAGAATATCTCTGATATTCAGATCTGTGCTAGGTATATGCATGGAGACTGCAGAGGTAACAAAACATTGTAATTGACTGAAAAAGATCACTCAGTTTGGGGGTTCTAAATGTTTTCTGGTCAGCATGCCTACGGGATACAACACTCAAGTTCCTGAATAGACTTGTCAAGTCAAGGCAGAAGTTTCGGCCACAGAGTGCCTACCCCAGTAACGGTGTGCCAGAATGCTCAGAAGGAACTGTACATTACTCTCCATTGCTCTCCTCGCTACTACCCCTCTGAGCATCTCTCATGTGTCTCGGCAGATGACAAGGCTCAGTTCCAGGGCAGAAAGTGACATTCCTAAAGTCACAGGATGGAAGCAGGGGAGGCTTTTGTAAACTTGGTAGTTATGTGTCTGAAGTAGCATTAATCATTATCTCTATAAAAAGCATGTAACCATGTAACATCTTAGAAAACTTAAAACAAAAAAGGACTAAAGGAGGAAGTAAATATAAATAAAATAACTGTTTTGTCCTCTTTTTTTTTTTTATTGCCCAAGAAACAATCCAAATTGTACAGGCTCAACCACTTGCAGGTCATCAAATTTCAGCCATCAATCATACAACAGAATGAGAAACTTATTATGTATTTGTTTGGAATGATCTACAAGACCTATAAACTGAAACACAGAAAAGCAAGCTATAGAACATTTGTGTAAAGGGGAAAAAACTATATGAAAATATTCTAAAATGACATGCAAGAAACAATGGTTCTCACCTGGGTAATTTAGCAAGAACCTGTCTTAGAATAATAAAAGGGGTGGGGATGTAGCTCAAGGCCAAAGCCCTGGGTTCAGTCCCCTGTTCAGGGAAATAAAAAAAAAAAAAAAAAAAAACAAAACAAAGGTGACTTCCAGAAAGGCGAAAGGGGTGGCAGGGAGACAAAAGCAGATAGGAGCTTTTTCACTGTGCACCCTTTCATAGCCTTTAAATATTTTACTTTGTGTGTTAATTCATTCAATAAATACTTACTAAATATGGTTGTAGATCAAACATCATGGCACTAGAGCTATATAGTACTTGTAAATAAAACAATCAAAAATGCCTTTAAGAGAGGCAAGAAACAGACAATAAATAAAACAGTATGTCAGACGGTAGTGCTATGAAAAAAAGAAGCAGAGAAACATTTATGTGTACGTGCAGACTGGTGGACTTTTAAAAAGAGTGATATATGAAGAAAAGCTGGCAAGAGTGACATTTCAGGAGTGAAGAAAGGAAACTGGTCATAAAGCAAGCTATGTGGTTCCACAGGAAGGAAATTCTAGGTAGAAGAAACAAGTACAAAAAAGGCCCTGCAGAGGGAGCATGCCTGGTCACGAGGTGGGTATGGGAAGCAGCAAACAAGGCAGGGGATTAAAGTCCTGCTGGTAAAGAGGAACAGATAGGTCCAGTGCCTTTCACTCCATTGTAAGGTCTTTGCTTAGTTTCTGTGAGAAGTAGCCCTTGGAGGATCTTAGGCAGAAGTGACATGTTGACTTACATTTTAAAAGGATCACACTAGCTGTTGTATTGAAGAGTGGAAAAGGGCAGTAGGGCACTTACTGATAAAATTTAAGAGAAGACGTACGTTCAGATTAGAGAGGAAGAGGTACAACTTATCAGAAATGGGTACATTCTGAAAATACTTCGAAGATCAAACTGAAAGAATCTATTAACAAATTAGATATGAAATGTAATTGAGAGGAAGCCCGAATGATTCCAAGATTTTTGGGGTGAGAATTAGAAGGACAGAAACCCTACTGAATAAGAGGGAAAAACTTAGGGTGAGTAAGCACAAAAGCAGAAAAGATCAGTTCAGTTTTAGATGTATTCAAGGTCTGGAATGTCTATTAGATAGCCAAAAGAATACACCATAAACATGCTGCCTAGGCAAATAAAGTTTCACATCTACAAGAACATCAAGTGAATCAATGTAATAACTTTTCTGCTGATGCATGAAAAATTTCAATGTCAATTTTTACTGACTTCCTAATAATAGTATAAAAGGTTTTCTAGTTAAAAGGCTCTCAAATATTCCCAAAACTTAATATAAAGAGAGATCTTAAAACTCAAACTTGACCCAGGTCTATCACCATGCACTAAACTAAAGTCAAAATGGATTAAAGATCTAAACATTAAAGCAGAGACACTAAATCTCC